GAGACAGGTAGGGGGTAGAGAGAGAGCTCTAGGAATCATCAGAATATAGTTAATACTTAAAGCCATAATAACGGATGAGATTGCTCAGGAAATGAATGTAGGAAAAGAATATGACCGGGACAGAAGCCTTGAGAGCACCAACATTTAAGGAAGCAGGCTTAGGAGGAGGAATAAGGAAAGGAGATTAAATTTGAGATTTATAAGGAGAATCAGAACTGAGGAGGATTATGGAATCCAAGGAAATCAGATACAAAGTGGTAATAGTCTAGAGAATGGGAATTAATAGTCTTTTTTAAGAATAACAGACAAAAGAGAAGAAAGAGGATAAGGATAATGGCTTAAGGGAATTACAAACTAAAGGGAAAGTTTTTGTTTTTTAAAGCGTATTTGTGCATGCTGTAAGTGAAATAAACCAGAGGGAGAGACTGAAAATGTAGAAAAGAAAGGGACTGCTACTTGTGAATTCCTATATCACTGCAGGACTCACTGACTTGGCACTTAGCTTACATATATGCCTTGTATTGGCAGTATTGTACATTTAGCAATACTGGCACAAACTAAATGCCCAATAAATCTACTTATTGTTTTTCTTCATGAATCTATGCATATTATCTAGCCAATTCAAGTGTACAGTCTTACACAAGAATGTACAAAAAGAAGGAAACAGTATAGTGGGATTGTTGAAAAAGACTTTGAGCAATACAAACCTAGAACAAGGATTTTTTTTTTCTTTTTTGTTTTTGGCAGCTGGCCAGTATGGAGATCTGAACCCTTGACCTTGGTGTTAAAACACCACACTCTAACCAGCTCAGCTAACCGGCCAGCCTTAGAACAAGGATTTTTATCCGCAACTTACTAGTGCCCAGATCAAAGTAAAATCATTTTCTCTCTCTGCAGCTCACTTACTCAACTTGTAAAATGGTGAGAATACCATGCATCCTGCAAGCTTGTAAGGATTAAACAAAATATTTAAAAAGCACTTTATATACAACTTACTGCTCAAGAAGTAGCAGTAATTTACTATTATGATTATTTTTCCTATCACTAGAGCACCAAGAATAGTCATTGACTTTTTAGGATATCTATGACTGAGGGTAAGTAAAGAATCAGTAGGCATAGCAGCCATTGCTGTATTATGTTCTAGAGAACCATAGCACAAAATGACATCAGCTTTTGGGCAGACTTCTCAAAGTCTGGTTATTCATGTACCACCAACATGATTTCTGCCACATCCAAGTGCCACAACTTAATATTTTTCTTTAAATCGAGTCATTTTTCTTTAATTGACCCTATTCTAAAAAATAGCTGCGAAATGATAGGTTTAATGGGCTATCTTTTTTCCTAATTTACATTAACCATTAAAATAAAGCATCCATCCCCTTAATCACCCTACAATCACCTCCTGAATCACGGTGTAAAACTGCTTTAGGTTGCTCTACTTCTGAGATTTTTAGGAAGAGATCAGGCAAGCAATTTGTGGGTTTACTTAATTTTCCTGCTACTCGTGATTACCATTTACAAAGGTTTGCAGAACATATAAATGAAATCAAACAAATGACAAAATGCACCCCAACAATATACACTGATTCTTTTCACAGGAAGTCCTAAATTGTCTAAAGCTAAACAGACAACTCAGCAATTTTTTATCTATTATTTCATCTTTCCACCTCTACTTTCTCTATCACAAGTAAAAATGAGACTGGGAATAAAGGCCCATCTTGTGGTTCAGCCTGAAGAACAAAACCAAAGAGGGGAGAAATACAGCAGTGGGTTTTGTTCTGAAGCACTAACATTCAGACCAAAGAAATGGTAGGCATGCAGATTATCGAAGTGAAAAACTGCCACCTTCAAAATAGAACACTCCTCTGAAAAGGCAAACCACAATCAGTTATTAATCAATACCTTTCCAGTCTGTGCTACAATCCAGGAAGTTCTTCATCACTCCAAAAACAACAACAAAGTCACTGACCAGAACCAGAACTTCACTCATTGATAACACCAACAGACACTGCACATATGCAATTTTGGAGCTGGTCTTAAATCCATTATATTAAGAGTCACACTATACACTTTAAAAAAGTTACTCCTACAATCCATTCTCTTAGGATCATTGACCTATTCATTTAGGGGAAAAAAATGTATCCTACACCCAAAATATACAAGACATTATGTAGAATATGAAAAAATCAGAGTTTGTTTATAATTTAACATAGGGAATGAGATTTCCATATTCCCCTAATGGAGGTTTTAAGGACTCAAAAAGACTGCTGAGAATTTCCCCCCTCCCAATATTTTATTATGAAAAACGTCAAACATATGGCAGAACTGAAATAATTTTACAGTGAACATTCGAACACCCACCACTGAGACTCTTTTTTTGGGGCAGCTGAATGGTAAGGTAAGGTAACATCTTGACCTTAGTGTTATCAGCACCACTCTCTACCCAGTGAGCTAACCAGCCAGCCCTCTATCATTTTTATTGTACTTGATTTATCACATACCCCTCCATGTATCCAATCTATCTTATTTTTTGATAAACTGCTGGAATTTTTAAAATGAGACTGTGTGATGAAGTATGACAAGAATATATTTAGGGCTGATTCTCAAAAATTTTGACTGATGGGGTGTATATGAACAAAAAAGTCTGGAAACCACAAACCCATACACAGTGTTCAACTCTCCTGCCACCTTCCAATCAAAATCCATTCAGAGGCCATAACTGGCCATTTTAGGTCTCCACACCCTTGGCCACTATCTGAACTATCCTCAGCCCTCTTCATGGCTCAGCACCAATCTGTGAAGTCTCTCCCAATTTTCACTCCCTCACCCAGGATTAACCATGCCCCCAATAGGGGCCACATTTTTCATCACTTGCAATTAGCACACAGTATCTGCAATTTTGTTTTCAGTCTGTCTTTTTTACTAAACCCTGACCTCCTTGAGGGAGAGAATCCCCTTATTTACCTCTGAATCTTTAGCAACCAGCATAGCATTTAGCCTACAGCAAACACTCAATAAAGGAGTAATATAAATGAATGACCTGAACCTGTCTTTACCCAGAAGCCAGGGAAGAGTTTATGGAGTATGAAAATTATATAATTATAGTGGCACTTTATATTCATCTTAGAGCACTGTTGTTAAGAGCATGAGCTCTGGAGCCAAACTGCATGGGCACAAATCCCAGAATCCCAGCTCTGCCACTTATAGTTAGGTGACTTTGGGCAAGTTTCTAAACCTCTTGTGCCTCAGTTTCCTCATTTGGAAAACAGGGATAATACTGCTTCACAGGTTATTGTGAAGATCAAATGAGGTAAAAAAAATTTTTTAAAAGCACATAGATTAGCACCTGGAACACAGTAAATGTTCCATCAATGTAGTCACTACTGCCAGCAACCAGGTAAAAAGACAGTTAGGTAAAAGTCTTTACAACTTGGGTGGTAGCTGTGAAAACAAAGTGGAAAGAATTGCCATGAATGAAGAATCTACTTTAAAATGTTCAGTCAGAGAGTAAGCAAATGGGTGTCTGTTATATTACTTTTTCTACTTTGTATGTTTGAGATCACTCATGATTAGATTTTTACTAAGAACAGCTATAATCTATCAAGCCTAAGCAGAGATTTGATGCTGGGCACTAGAAATCTAGCATGACTAGACTCTAACCACAAGCTCGATGACCTCTACAAGCTTCTCTATGTAGGTCTTTCGGTCTCTCAGCTGAGATTCCTTTCCTCCTCACTACTCCGCCTGGCACCACTTCTTTAGTTTTGTGATTCTCACAATCCCATCCTGTCTAACTGTGAGGACATCCCCAAGAAACTTGGTTGGCGAACGGGTTTGCGGTTTCATCCTACCCACCCTGTACTTTTCTTTTTCTTCTTCCTGCCCACCGCCTTTACTTCTCAAGCCTTGCTATTCCTTACACGTAGGAACTTGAAACCTAAAAGTATGGGAAAGCAACCAAGCAACAGCAGCGGTGCCAAGACCTGGGGATGCTGCCAAGCTGTTCCCCAAGCCCCATATGCAGTAACCCAACTATGACCCAACTAAATGCAAACTAGACTAAACTGCAACTGGGGTCTCACACACTTTATATTCCTTTTTGCTTCTGCTCATTTTCTTCCTCCCACTTAAAACAACCTACTCCCAAACCCATGACCCATTCTATTTCAACCCATTCTTCAAAGACCCGAGATGAGGTCCAACTTCTTCAGGGAAGCCTCCCCTGACCATTTTAGTCCACGGATATCCTCCCCGCCCCCCAACACACAACAGGTACTGTACTTACCGTCTGTACCATAAAGCACAGTCACATATACATTTATACAGTTAAATAAGTGTTTCATGTGTATATATTTGATATTCCAAGGGCAGGAACCGTGTGTCACATGTCTTTCAAACCCATTACTCTCGGTGGGTTAATACTTGTTGAACACTGACTAAATCAGTGGGTTTTTGTTTGTTTAGGCTAAGGCAGAAGGAGGTAGAAGCATGTTGAAATGAAAAAAGGCTGAATGGACAGATGTGTAAAAAAGAAGCACTGGGTTAAAATGGAAAAAAAAAACGTATTAGAAAGGTGTTGTACGGACATCTACTGAATTGGTTTTTTGTGAGGCTGGAAAAATATAGAAGAGAGATGTCTAGTGGAAAAAGCAGAGAAAAGGCATTTCAGCTCTAGGCAGAAGACAGCAGTAGAAAGGTGAGGCTACAAAACAAATTGACTAAATTCTGCTAAAACCTAGAGATAGGCCAATTGGATAAGTGAAAAAGGGAGCTTTTGGGACGACATGGGTAGAGATCTGGTCATGTAGGTGAGCGAATCGCAGGGGGTGGTACGAAAGGGGGATAGAGGGATAAAATGGTCGAGTAGTTAGGCAGGTAGTTTAGCTAATCGAGCGGGGGAGTGGGGAGATGGGAGGTAGGTAAGCGGGTGGGTGGTTAGGTATTTAGTTGGGAGGGAATAGGTGTGGGGCGTGTTATTTAAGATCCGGCCCCTCCCTCACCTTGACCCGGAAGCGGATGAGTGCTAGCCTCACGCAGTGGCTCAGGCAGGCCGGGGGCAGGAACCAGGCCCGTGGTGGAGGGGTGCCCTTGTTGCCCACGTGTCCCACGATCAGTTGCGCTGTCTGCCGTTCGGCCTGGCACCGACGGCCCCACTCGGCCAGCCGATCCTTGCCCAGGCCCCCTGGAAACATGACCACCAGCTCCAGGCCGTCGCCGCCGGGATAGGCACAGGCCTGGCAAAGCGCTGACAAGTAGCCCAGCATGGCGTTCCATTGGCCG